CAATGATGGTGGCAACTTGGGCCAGTGAAGCAACGTCCTCCACAACTAGACTGAAGAACAAAAGGACAGCAACTTGTCTGTTCCCCTTCCCCAGATCCCCAAGCACTGTTCCCCTCCCCCAATTCCCCAATAAAATATTTAAAAATAAATCAAGTTTATTTTGTATTTTTAAATATTGCTACCAAAACTTTTTATTTTTTAATTTCCATTTTCATGAAATATCTTTTTTCCCATCCCTTTACTTTCAGTCTGTGTGTGTCTTTTGCTCTAGGTGAGTCTCTCATAGGCAGCATATATAAGGGTATTGTTTTCTAATCTATTCAGCCAGCCTACCTTTTGATTGGAGCATTTATCCATTTACATTGAAAGTAACTGTTGATAGATATGTAGTTATTGCCATTTTATCATTCATATTATTTATTTATTTATTGTCTTAAAGAAGTCCTTTTAACATTCCTAGTAATACTGGTTTGGTGGTGAGGAACTCCATTAGCTTTTTCTTGTCTGGGAAGCTCTTTATCTGTACTTTGATTCTAAATGATAGCTTTGCTGGGTAGAGTAATCTTGTTGTAGGTCTTTGCTTTGCTTCATTACTTTGACTATTTCCTGCCAATCCCTTCTGGCCTACAAATTTTCTGTTAAGAAATCAGCTGATAGTCTTATGGGAGCTCCCTTGTAGGTAACTAACTGCTTTTCTCATGCTGCTTTTAAGATTCTTTCTTTGTCTTTAAGCTTTGTCATTTTAATTATGATGTGTCTTGGTGTTGGCCTCTTTTGAGCCATCTTGTTTGGGACTCTTTGTAATTCCTGGGCTTATATGTTTATTTCCTTCATCAGGTTAGGAAAATTTTCCATCATTATTTCTTCAAATAGTTTTCAATTCCTTGCTCTCACTCTTTTCCTTCTGGTACCTCTATGATGTGAATGTCGGTATGCTTGATGTTGTTCCAGAGGCCCCTTAAACTCTCCTCATTTTTTTGGATTCTTTTTTATTTTTAAAGATTTTTTTAATTGGGGAATTGGGGGGATGGAAACAGTGCTGGGGAATTGGGGGTAGGGGAACAGACAAGTTGCTGTCATTTTGTTCTTCAGTCTAGTTGTGGAGGACGTTGCTTCACTGGCCCAAGTTGCCACCATCATTGTGCTCTTCC